CCCCCCCCGCTCCTTTTATATTTTGAGACAGGGTCTTGCTAAGTTGCCCAGACTGGACTTGAGTTTGTGATCTTCCTGCCTCAGCCTTCGAGAGTGCTGAGATTACAGGTGTGTGCCACAGTGCCTGGTTACTAATTCTTGTAGTTTGTGTGAACCCCTTGGGATTTTCTGCAGAGACAATCACACTATCTGTGAATAAATAAGTTTCCTTCCTTTCCTTTCTGTATGTTTCTTTTTAATTTTTCTTACCCTGTCACATGGACTTGTTCCTCTAATGCATGTGTTGAAGCAACAAAAGCCACATCCTTGCCTCATTTCTGTTATGAGGTGGGGGTTGAGTCCTTCACTACTAATGATGACATTAGTTGCAGCTTGTTTTTTATAGATATCCTTTGGGGTTTTTTTTTGTTTTCTCTTTTTAAATTTTTTAATTTTATAGATATCCTTTGAGAGCCTGAGATAGTTCCTGTCTATTCCTAGTTTGTTGAGAGCTTTTTCTTCATGAGCACACTTTAAATTTTATCAAGTGATTTTTCTTTTCTACAAGGAACATTTTCCCAAGCAAGGTTTCAAATAACAAACATTTTTACTCTGAAGATGATATATATTAACGGTCTTTGGAGCCGGATGTGGTGGTACACACCTGTGGGAGGCTGAGGCAGGAAGATCACTTCAAGTTTGAGGCCAGCCTGAGTTACAAAGTTGAGTTCAAAGTCAGTCTAAACTGCATAGTGAGACCCTGTCTCAGAAAGACAAAAACAAAACAAAACAAAATCAATAAGCACAGTCCTTGGGACTATCATGAAAACATTCTGTACTCCTTTTGGAAAACATAAAGATCAGAATTCTACTTAATAATGACAAAAGTAGAATCAGTGTGCTTTAGCTAAAATGTTACCATGTCGGGTATGTGAGTATTTATCAGCCTTTGCTTGCCGATCTAGCCAGAAGGAACAGGTCCCTGAGGGATCAGTGTTCCCGAGGTCAGAACCTAGGCCAACGCATCTCACTGCTTCAGGGTTTTTAATGAAACTTCTGCTTGGGCGTGGGCTTTCTGTTATGACTTCCAGCCATAACTGAATTGAAGATTTTGGGGCTTCAGTGCTTGGTGCCGCCCCATGCCAAGAACTGGAAGAACCAAGAAGGAAAAGGAAAAAGGACAGTGGAAGGTGCTCAAGACTGATGTCACCTACACATGGAACTTGAGGGACATAATAGCAGTTACCAACACTGCTTTCTACACAATCAGCACATTCTCTCTTCCCTTATCCACACTGTACAGGGAGGACTCAGGATTTGGGGTTAGGGCAGACGAGAGATTAAGGCTTGAATTTTGGGTGCTTAAAGGCAGCGTTGGGTGATATAAGTCTCACAGGCAGAGTGGTTTTCTCTTTAGGTGAATGGCAGGAAATGTTCAGAGGACCTGCCCCTTTGTACAGGTAGTAAGCACCCCCCCGCCCCGGCCCAGTTTGTGTTATCCTTTCGGTGTGTCCCCCAGATGATAAACTCAGCCTCCCTATCCTCTCAGTACCAGGCCATCAACAACTACAGTCAAATCCAGGGAGATAGCTTTCCTTCTGTGTAGTTTTCTTTGCCTTTTTTGTTTCCTTTTTACAACCAGAGCTGGCCACAAAGAGACATATAGTTATCATCTATAATTTTCTCAGCAAGAGGCTTTTCTTCTCTAATTTTATCAATTTCAGGCACTGTCAGTTAGAAAAGAGACCTGTAACAAAATACATCCAACTAGAAGTTGCTTACTGGATAGGGAAACAGATTTGTTCCTTTATTAGGACAGACCTGGAGTTGATACCAAAACTTCACAGTTAGGGTGCTTGGTTGGCATCTCTTGATTCTTCTGGATTTGGCCTCATGGTCACAAGATGATTGTTGCTGCTCCAGACATCACTTGGTAGCTTTCAAAGCAAAAAGTGGGGGAGGAGGCAGGATGGCAGGAATGCCACAGTCCTCTTCTTTTCTCTTTAACGGGGAAGGACATCTTTGCCCCCGCAGACTTCTTCCTCCAACCATGGGTTGGGTTGCTTGGACCAATTGTGGTTTATTCCTTTATATAAGGACATATTTCTCCGATCCTGGTCAGTTTTGATTGTCATTTTGTTCTTTCATCACACTGTCACTATCTCCATTTATTTCTTTAATCTATTAAACATACTTATTTTCACATTGTGTGATTTATAATTTGAAGATGTGCATCCTTTGTGAGTCTGAGGCTGTAGGTTGTGATTTTTGCCGAATCTTTTTTGTTTTTTGAGACACGGTCTCCTTATGCAGTTCAGGCTGGTCTAGAACTCACAACGATCCTCCTGCCTCAGCCTCCTGAGTGCTGGGATTACAGGTGTGGGCCACCACGCCCAGTTTTGCTGAATCTTAATCCTGGAAGCTATGTGTTCATAGGGGTGTGTGCGTCTGTGTGTTTTTAACCATTGGATTTTTAACACTGAATTTTGTTCTTTGGGAATGCAACTCTATGTGTGGTCCTGGAGATTAAGCTCAGGGAGTGTTGAGCTCTATCCCCAGCCCTTTTTAAATTTATGAAAGATTTTTGAGTTAGGGTCTCACTCGGTTGTCCAGG